TCTGTCAGATACTCCTCTAAATCTAAACATTCAGATTAAGACAGACTAGGAAGAAGGATTGGCCATCCACTTCTGAAATGGCAGGCCTCTGAAAACCCTATGTACAACCTATGCTTTACTGATAGTTGAGAAAATTTTGCAGAGTTTCTCAGAAATTGGTTATGATGTTATGCTTGGAGATTTTGTATTCATAAGGAATCATTAATCCAACTAAGGTTGTAAGACTGCTTTGCTGGATGCTACTGGAGTCGCCTCACTCAATCACAGCAGAAGTTGTAGTCACAGAAATTCCTAGAGAAAGACCCTGGCATTGGTGGACTGGGAGGTAGTATGGGCGGAGGCATGTTCTAATTCCCAGAATAGTCCCTTACCACTTATTAATGAACTGTGACAGGAAGCACAAGGCATTTTCCTCAACAACAACTTCTGAGAAGTCAGCTGAAGGAAATGACTGGAGAAAAGGCTGGTCAATGTCTGAAAAAATCACCATAACCATTTTACTAGTTTCAGATGACAATATGTAATGCGGGTTACTGCTGTCATTGTCTATGCCTACAGATAATTTATTTTGTATTTCTGAATAAAAAAGACATTCCCGATGCTGGGTGCAAGAGCCATTACCAATGTATTGCTTTCAACTCAAAACACTGGGGCAGTTTTACAAGTATTCTATAAAAAATAAGGATTTTAGTGCTTGCCATCACTAGATGAGAAGTTACCAAGCAGCTTTTCTATGGAGAGTAAGAATGATTGTGTACAAAGTAGAGAGATATCCAATTATGTGACAACTTTTGTGTAATAAAACCTTTTATTTAAAATTTTAATGGAAGTTTATAAAGAACTTGGATTTCCATTCATTCATTGTTTCATATTTTCCTCCCTGTCCCCTTTCCCAGTTTGCTTTTTTCTTTGGAAAAAAGTTATACAGTAGTTCCCGCCTCCCCCGACTCCCAGACCACTTTACTATGTAGCTCTTATTCTGGGTTTTTGTCATGCCAATAATATCTAATCATATATTCCTTTTATACAGTTCTCTCCCTTGTCTGTTTCAATGTCGTGTACCTCATTTATCCCCTTTTTTCTTAGTTTTCTCCCAACCCCCAAGTCAGTCCTATTCTGTAACAGTAGCATTATGCAGTATTTGTCTAAGATATTTCACTCAGCATAATGTCCTCCATGGTCACCCAGTTTGTATAATATTTCATGAGTTCATTGTTTTAAGTAAAGAAAAAAAAGACACTCAGAAACCCTAAGGTTAAAGAAAAACATTTTATTTTCCTCTTAGATTTTTTGTGCATAGTATGATAGTATGATCACTCAATGACTTGCAAAGTTAAAAACACATTGGGTAGCACTCTAGGAGAAAGAGATGGACCAAGACAGTCCCAGGGTGCTGGCTGAGTCATACTCTGAGTTACTCCAATTCTGCTAAGAAGTAAGGAACAGAAGGTAGTTGGCAGATCTTTATTGATGAGTCTTAATTACTGCTTTCAAAGAGGTAAAAGAACAAAGGGAAAATTTCCAAGTGATAAAAACATTTTAAAATAGATAGTAAACAACAATCCCTGTCATCGACCTGTGACTCTTAGTGACCCTACAGGACAGGGTAGAAGTAACCCAGAGGATTTCCTGAACTGTCAAAAAAACCCCAAACCCACTGCTATCAAGCCAGTTCCTACTCTTAGTAAACCCAAAGGACAGAACTAACCTATAGGATTTCCAAGGCTGTAATCTTTGCTAACTAAGAAGCTGTGCTGCAACCCCAAAGACATGGTTTGAATCCACCAGCTGCTCCATGGCAAAAACCTCCTCCTGTGTGATTAACTGCCTCAGAAACCCTGATAGAGGGTCACCTCTGGGTCGGTTCTGACTCGATTGCACATACAACAATCTTTACAGAAGAAGTCAATTTTTCTGTCAGAGTTACTGGTAGCTTTGAACTAGTGACCTTTCAGTTAGCTGCCAAACATTCAACCACTGTACTAGATACTCAACCCAAAACGCCAAACCTACTGCCACTGAACCAAATATAATTCATAAAGACCCTATCAGGATACAGTAGAACCGCTCTCTCATAGGTCATCCAAGGGTATACATCTTTATGGGAGCACACTGTTTCATCTTTCTCCTGAGAAGTGGCTGATAGATCCAAACAAGGCTCTCTTGTTAAAGAGATGACACTTTATCTACTGGATCACTTGTTGCTTTATACCACTGAGTTGAGACAGACCCATAGCTGACCCTCCAGCAGGTTTTCAGAGGCAGTAAATTGCACAGGATACTGCCTTTCTTCTGCAGAGCAGCTAATGGATTCAAAGCATGTACCTTTAGGTTGGCAGTGCAACTCTTTATCACAAAGCCACAGGAGCTCCTTACTGCACCACTAAGGATCGTGAATCGATGGCAGTAGATAAAGTGTCATCTCAGAACTTATCTTGAGTGCCTTTCAATCTGAGGGCTTCATCTTCCAAGCACTTTATCAGATGGCTGGTCTTTCTTCCTCCCAAGGCTGTCTTAATCTTGAGCTCTATATAAACCTATCCACCTTAGTGACCCTAATAATGCGAAACACGTATGGCACACTTTCCAGCATTGTGAAAACCACCAGTAAGATAGAGTAGTGGTGATGAGACTGTTTTAATTCATGAAATTTGACTGTTTTAAGTAAATTCTGCATGCCCAAAATGAACGTGTCAGTCATCTGTTCCTTCTTTATTAAAGACAATTGCCATCACTGCAGCTTCTGTTACTAACAGACCTTGCAAGATCCTTTTCATGTTATTTTCCTAGAAATTAACAAAACTAAATAAACAAAACTTTCATTGTTCGGCCCCACCCTCACCCTCCAAGAACCTTTCCAAATACTTTATTTTGACTTGGCTGATTCGAACTCTACTCACAATAAACATATAAAATAATTTGGGGTGTTTCTGCACATTGAAACCTTGGACATTGCTTGCCCTTGATTGTTACTCTATTCCCGCTGGTCTCTTCCAGGCTCTGGATTTATTTCCACCACACCACAACTGTCCTCCTGCTCCTGCCCAACCTCCTCCAAGTGAGGTTATCTGCAAACCCTAGACTTTTATTTTAAGACCTCCCACTCTTGCATTCTTCCCTGGGCTTTCTGTAGCTGTCTACAGCAGTTCTGTTGCAATGTTTCCTAGGCTGACGTACTCCAGAAACTGCCAGGGTTTTCAGCTTTTTTCCCTCTCTTGGCCTGAATCCCATGCAGGGTCTTTTCTGTGCTCATTTTCCCCCTACCTTCTGGCACTTAAGAAGCCGCCTGTACCGGACAGGTCAGATTGGGAGTGTAAATTTCCTGGTTAAAGCTTTACGACTGTTCTTTTACGACAGGGCGGGGTTGCTTTGTGGCTGTCAACTTTCGGAGAGGTCTGAGCCGGGTCCTGCGTTTCCCGTAGTGGCGGCATCTGCAACGCACAGAGATGAGGCAGAAACGCAAAGGTGCAGTCAAAGGGAAGAAGGGGAGAGGGAGGTGGTTGGAAGGAGTGACGCCAGGAAGGTTAGCTGCGGAGCACAACTTTCCCCGCGGGGTTCCACTACCTGATCTGATCACTTCGCCACATGGTTTCTTACCGATTCTTGCTCTCTGCGTGCTTGTTGGGGCAGTGTCTACGCCTGCCTTTGCTTGCTTCTTCTCCGGCGGTTTCGATGTCTTTTTTCACAGAGGAAAAATAAGGCAGGAAAAGCCCTATTCTAAGGTGTACTCTCAAAGGAATTAATCTGATCGATCACCTCTACAGCCGTCTCTTTCTCTTAAATTAAGATTTGTTGAGCGAAACATTTGATGAGTTTTGCATGTGTGTTGTTTTGATTTTAGTTACAGGTTTTAAAAAGGAAAACACTAAATTAAATCCCGTAGAATCCTTGGATTTTTAAAACAATTATACAACTACAATTTAAACAATTAGTTCTTTTCATTTCTACTACCTCCTGAATTACCATTTTTTTTTGTTTTTTTTTCAGCAGAATGCATTACATTCCAAGTATTCTTTCAAAGGTTCTGTTCTTATTTGAGCAGTTGTCCAAAAATAATGATATTGTCATCACCTCCTTTTTACAGATAAAGAACCTCAAGTTCAAAAGTAACTTTCATTGCACACAATTAAACTTAGTAATTATAGAGCCGGTAGGTCAGGCTTGTCTAAAATTCCAAAAATAAAATAAAAATTTAAGAAACTTGTGTTCCCAGCATGGTGCTATATTGCCTCATGGTGACATGTATCACCCCTATACATTCCAAGCATCAGCAGGAAATGTACAAATTTTAATTGCTTGGTTATCTTGTCCCATTAATTCTGCATGTCAAAAATTAACTTGTCTGTCATCCTCCTTTTCAGTCTGTCAGACCAGGCAGCTTTAGATTTCTCGCTTTATCTGTCACTAGCCCCTAAAGGTCTTAGAAGTCACTCTTTAAAATGATTTATTCTTCATCATTCTGGCTGGCAGTCTTCTTCAACAGTATTTGAATAGTACGTTGGCTTTTGCACAGGGAGCTGTCCATAGTCAGTTTCACTGCTAACTCAAAGACTCCGCATCTCTGTCAGTTTCAATTCCCCATTGATTCAGGGAGAAATATGGGCCGCACCTGCCCTTTGTGATTTACAGCCTCAGAAACCCAGTAGAGAGTCACCATGAGTTACTCTACAGCAGTAGGTTTGGCTTTCACGTGTATTATTTCAAGAGATTCTTGAATGCATTTCTTTTTTTTTATTATTATTAAATTTTATTAGTTTTAATGAACATATACAGGGATT